TTGTAGTTTACCGTATGATAATTGTAAACCGTATATTTTTAGAAGAAGATAAATAGTAGGCAATGGAAGTATATTGTATTCTCCTGTCTATATTTTTCAATATCTTTTTAAATGAACAAAAATTGTCTATTTATAATTATCAGGCCGACGTGGTCGCCGTTGGATTGGATTCACGTAGTCTGATCTGTCGACCATTTGTGTCACATCAACTCTAATCCACATTAATTACATTGATAAACTTTTGATAAGAGGTTAACCATCTCTTCTGGTTATAAAGGACTTCAGATACTCAGGGAGCTCGACAGCAGAAGGTAAACCACTTCAGATAGAATGATAGGGCTACTTTGGCTATTCTCATTAAAACAATCTCGGCGCTCAACGTGACAGCTTGAGATGTTGACCCCTTTTGAGTGCTTGCCATGTGTCCAAATATGAGGACCCCCACGTGGGTTATTTTGTATGATTAGTAACAAAGCAAATAATTCATAATAAGAGAAAATGACACAACAACCTATTGTCTTTATATCAAGTTGAATCCTCAACTTTTAAAAATAAGCAAATTAATCCCATAAAAATTAAAAAGGTTTCAACTTCCACCTCCCACCTAACCTAATAAACTACCTGAGGTTCAAGCATGCTCCATGTCGTCCCTTCCCATGAATTTGCCAAACGGAGGCTTAAAAAGCAAATAATTCATAATAAGAGAATTACAAGCAACCTATTGTCTTAATATCAAGTTGATCCTCAACTTTTATAAATAAGCAAATTAGTCCCATAACGATTAAAAATGTTTCAACTTTCACCTCCCACCTAACCTAATGAGCTACTTGAGGTTCAAGCATGCTCCACATCGTCCCTTCCCATGAATTTGCCAAGCGGAGGCTTAAAAAGATGTTGACCTTCGAAAATAGCCAACAGGTGTCGTTAAAAGACGATGTACACGTGGGTGTAGTTTACGGTATGTAAATTGTAAATAGTATGTTTGTAGAAGAAGATGAATAGTAGGCAATCGAAGTATATTGTATTCGCTTGTCTATATTTTCTAAGATCATTTTAAATGATACGAGAATTGTCTATTTATAGTGATCAGGTCGATGTGGTCGTTGTTGGATTGGTAACACATGGCATGATCTACCAACCCTTTGTGTCACATCAACTCTAATCCACATTAATTACATTGATAGATTTTTGACAAGAGGTCACCCACTCTATAAACCCAAGCTGACACCCCTGACACTTATTAATTGCGCACGTCACATCAGCTCACATTAGTAGTCAATTCTGAAGACGTGCTTGCCTGACTCTCTTATGGTTGTAAAGGGCTTCGAATACTCAAGGAGCTCGGCAGCAGAAGGTAAACCGCTTCGAAAATAAGGATAGGGCTACTTCGACTATTCTCAGTGAGACAACCTTGGCGCTCAATGAGACAGCTTAGGATGTTGACCCCTTTTGCGTGCTTGCCATGTGTCCAAATATGAGGACCCCACGTGGGTCATTTCATATGATTAGTAACAAAACAAATAATTCATAATAAGAGAAACTTACACGGCAACCTATTGTCTTAATATCAAGTTGATCCTCAACTTTTAAAAATAAGCAAATTAATCCCATAACGATTAAAAAGGTTTCAACTTTCACCTCCCACCTAACCTAATGAACTACCTGAGGTTCAAGCATGCTCCACCTCGTCCCTTCACGTGAATTTGCCAAGCGGAGGCTTAAAAAGCAAATAATTCATAATAAAAGAGAATTACACAGCAATCTATTGTCTTAACATCAAGTTGAGCCTCAACTTTTAAAGATAAGCAAATTAATCCCATAACGATTAAAAAACTTTCAACTTTCACCTCCCACCTAACCCAATGAACCACGTGAGGTTCAAGCATGCTCCACGTCGTCCCTTCCCACTCCCCCTGCATTAAGCTTCTTTTTCTCATTTCTTGTAATAATATCAGCCATATAAATCCACGCGCCACAACAAAATGCAGCCATCATTGCTGAACAAAATGCAAGTTAAAATTCAAGAAACTGTCACTGTTCAACCCGCCACACCACCATTTGATCATGATCACGTTCTTCCTCTCTCCCACCTCGACACTGATCGAAACCTCCACGTCACTTTCCGTTACCTTCGCGTTTACGTCGCCAACGACAACCACCCTGCAGAGCCTTTCCACGTCATCACAACCGCGCTATCCACCGCCCTCGTTGACTACTATCATTTTACCGGCACTCTCCGCCGACGCCACTTAGACGGCCGCCTCGAGCTGTGTTGTCAATTGGAGAAAGGAGTGCCGGTCATTCGCGCCGCCGTGGAGTGTTCGTTGAGTTCGTTAAGCTACCTTGATGAACTGGATGAAAAGTTTGTTGAGCAGCTAGTACCGGACCCGGATTCGGACGAGGGTATGACCCGACCCATGATATTGCAAATGACGGGTTTTGAGTGTGGGGGTTTTGTTCTAGGGGCAGCCATTCACCATTCACTTTGTGATGGGCTTGGAGCCTCCGTGTTTTTCAACGGATTGGCGGAGTTGGCCCGTGGAGCGGGTCAAATTACGGTCGAACCGGTTTGGGATCGGGTGAATTTGCTTGGACCTAGGAACCCGACTCGAATTGAGTTCCCTTTTCAGGATTTTTTGAGCTTGGATAAGGACTTCTCACCATATTCGGATTCTGGTAAACGGGTCATTAAAGAGTGTTTTAACGTGAAAGAGGAGTGGTTAGACCGGCTTAAGGAGCTTTTGTATGAAAAATCCGGGTTAAAATTTACCACTTTCGAAGCTTTGGGCGCTTTTATATGGCGAGCAAGGTAAGCCAATTCATAATTTGGTTAGCTATTTCCAATTTATTTTACAAAATATTTACTTTAAAGTTGTGTCTTCGGATTAGAGACGGATTTAGGGGGCTGGGCGGGGCTGGACTGGGCTGTAGCCCCTTTAAGGTATTTTTTTATTTTTTTTTGTAAAAAATCAGTTTTTTATGTATAATTTTTTATTATTATTTTTTTTTCCGTGTAGTAGCCCGGATTTAAATTTTGTAGCTAGGCTTGGATCCAATCTTGGATCTTGAATTTATATTTTCGCTAGAGGATCAACACGTGCATGATTAATGTAAGACCGTGACACTGGGACAGAGAACATTTTCAAGTATAGTTGTCTGTAATTTTGAACAGGGTTAAAGCCTCTGAAATCTCTGGGGATGAAAGAGTGAGTTTCACATATTCAATGAACATAAGAAAGGTGGTGAAACCTCCATTGCCTGTTGGGTACTGGGGAAATGGTTGTGTCCCAATGTACATTCAGCTCACTGCCAGAGAACTTGTGGAGCAACCCATATGGAAAACAGCTGATTTGATCAAGAAAAGCAAATACAACGCCACTGACGAATATGTTCGTTCCTATATCGACTTTCAGGAGTTGCATTATGAGAAGGGCATCAGTGCAGGGCCAAGGGTGAGTGGGTTTACGGATTGGCGGCATTTGGGTCATTCCACCGTGGACTTTGGCTGGGGTGGCCCTGTGACAGTGTTGCCATTGTCCAGGAACCTGCTGGGGAGTGTTGAGCCTAGTTTCTTCTTGCCTTGCTCTTCAGGGAAGAAAGATGGGTTCAAGGTTTTGGTGCATCAGCAAGAAGATGCACTGCAAGGGTTTAGAGAAGAAATGGAAAAGTTAAAGGAACACACCCCGTCTTGATTTTCCTTTTTGTTTTGTGTGGACAAAAAATAATTCAAATGGTCTCCACTTGTTTGATTGTGTAATCTCAACTCCAAAGTTGGAACTTCGACTTTCTATATAGCTATGAGTTGAGGCTCTTTCTTAATATTGAAGCTTTATATTTAATAATACTTGGTGCATCAAATTGATAATTATAGAATTCCAGGGGAAGATTTCATGGAGAATATTTCTTTGATTTGAGCATGATCTTCGGCTAAAAGGATAATAATTTAAAATTACTTCATCAGCCTGATGCACGTTGATTAGCAGCAGGCTTGCCATTTCTTTCTTTTGTTTATGTTTATCTACAGAGGCGGTGGCCCTCAATTTGAGGATACTCAAGTTGAACAACTACAACTAAACATTAAGATCTAAAAATAGTGAATGTAAAACTTTGTAACCATCACGAGAAGCAAATACCTATTGAATCTATTACAAATATATTCATGACTCTTCCTCCACAACTACCCTTTTGAATTTAAGCCACCCTTTTGACTTGCAAATCCTCATCAAAAGATACCATCCAATCCCAGCAACAGTCATTAACCCACCCACCAAATACACAATTTTGGTTGCTATAGCCATGATAACCACCAAAAATCCAGCCGGAATTAAGCACATAATCACCAGTGCCGGCAGCTTCAATGGCACCCTGTAAGGCCTTTTCATTGTGGGGAATTTTCTTCTCAGCCAAAGAAAAGATGCAAATTCCAATAGCATGCCCAAACTATACAAGAAATTTGCACAAGATACGATATCTGTGTAACTCATATAAGAAACACCCAATGCAACAACTGTTGATAACAATATTCCCACCCATGGTGTATTGAACCATTTCGACCGACACGAGAAAAACGTTGGCAAAAAGGCTAAATCTGCCATGCCCAGAAGCTGATATGCAGAGCTACTTAATTGTGCTTCAAATAATCCAATTGCTGATAAAACAGCACCAATTTCAATCCAGAATTTTAGCCATTTACCTGAAATCATTTGTGCTGCTTCTGCCATAAATCCAGCCTCCCATTCACTCTGATCAACTGAAATAGCTCCAGTTACTGCAATAAGAGGGATTATATAACCTAAACAAGTGAAGATCACTGCACAAAAAAGTGCTAAAGGGAATGTCTTTTTTGGGTTATCAACTTCCCCCGCCATAGTACTAACATTATCCCAAAAATTCAGGTTCCAAAACAGAGTGTTGAAGAACAAATTCCAATCTTTTTTCACCCCCTTTTGGCCTAAACTAATCCATCTATGGGGGTGAATTTGGGGGATTGCTATCAATGACATAAGAATAAATGGCGCAAGTGAAACAATTCCCAAAACAATTGCAGCATAACCAACTATATTGAGCCCTGTATAATTAAGAAACGAAAGGAGCAAAGTTGAAACCAAGATCGCAAGCTTTCGAGGTAGCCCAGAAGAGAAGATGGGAAAAATCCTTTTCAAATAATCTATACACAAAGCTGGAAAGGCTGCTATGTTGATTACACCGCTGAGGAATTTCCATGTGCCCATAAGGGATCCCCAGAAGGGGCCAAAAGCCCGGTCGGCCCATATAACAAAGCCGCCGTTCCCGGGGAAGGCAGTAGAGAGCTCGGCGGTGATTAGAGCCTCTGGTATACTCCAGATGAAAGGGAAGATGAGGAAACCAAGAATTGCAAATAAAGGGCCTGCAGCTTGAACTGCAGGCTCTTCACCGTATGGTCCACCGGCAACTTCGAAATAGATGAGGAAGATTAGAGGGATGAGAGAGAGTTTTCTGGGGCCGACAGTAGTGGGCCCGTTGGTTGTGGGGAGTTCTTCGGCGGAGTTATGCAGTGGTGAGATGGTGGATGGTTGTGGTTGTTGCCCTGATTCCATGATACACTCAAATTTGGAGAGTGATTTTTTCAAGAAATAAGTGGAGAGGAATCTTGGGAATCTTTATTGAGAAATTTTCAGCAACCAATCGGATTACCAAATCAATTGACTAGAGAAAATTTATAATTAATTGAATTGTAGGGATCATGGTTTGCTAGGGTGGGGTCTTATATTTTTGAAGTTTTGCTAAGATATTTCATATCTGACTTTGATTTTTCAAGCCAGTATTTGTTCTCTTTTGAACTCCTTTTTGGTTGCAAACAGCGCAATTATTAGTTGTAAACCGTATAAATTATTGCTAAACCTTGTTGGTGTTATACAGAGTCAAAGTCAAATTAGTCTGCTAATAAAACTCTCTCGACATGTCTTTGGAATTTTAGGGTTGTATTCAATTGGAACTTTTGAAAATTTTAATAGACTTTTTTAAAGTGATGACTTCTATAGATTTCGTAGATTTTTGATAGATTTGTATAGAATTAGTAGAAGTCTAGACTTTTATTTTAAAACTTTTATAGAGTTTTGTAGAATAGACTTTCATTTGAAGTAAAATTCACATAGATCTAGTGCAATAATATGAAATTCTCAAATATGAAGTGGTAGTACCCGCGATTTCCCTTCCCTTTCCCCTCCTCACATAATAAAAAATTATTTTAAAAAGAATAAAAATTTAAGACATTAATTAAATAAATAATAATTAAAATTATACATACATATGATAAAAAAAA